CGAGTGTAAGCCAACTATGTTATCTCTCCTTTTATTAATTATATTACATGGGATGTTTGTGAAGATTGCCTAACTTGCGACATATGCCTTCAATGCGATTATGCCTCTAAGTCGTGCCTCGACACGTGGGAGATATAGTCCGCATCGAGGGTGTTATAAGAAGACAAGCTGGGGCCCCGGCAAGATTCTTGCCGGGATGGCTCGCGAGGCCCCGGCAAGATACTTGCCAGGATAGTTTGCGAACCACCAGCAAGACCATCACCCTTGGGGTTGAGAGCTCTGACACCATCGACAATGTCAAGACCAAGATCCAAGAGCGTCTGTGTGGTGGCATGCCGATCTTTGTGAAGACCAGAAGGCAAAGTTCCGAGCAAGGCTCTTGCCGGGGATGCTTGCGATTTTGCCGGGGACGTTTGCAAGGTCGCGGCAAGACTCGGGCACGGCAAGGTTCCGCCACCCTGTCACCGCTCCAGCACAACAACCAGCCTGCCAGCCAAGCAAGCATCTGCGTGATGGCATGCAGATCTTCGTGAAGATCCTGCCACCGCTCCAACGCAACGGCTAGCCAGTCAGCTTGGCATTGCATGCCTCGTCATCCTAGGTGCGTGTCAAGACGGGGTGAGGCGGCAACGGATGGGACGGGCTCTATTTCCGTCCCCGATAAAGTTAGTGGCACGTAACTAGCGCATTTAATGTGTTTGTCCTAAGACGTCAGTGAGCATGTACACTGTAGCTACTTTACACCTCCTCTGTACGCCACTGTGGTAGCCCTTTGGTATAAAAGGAGGCCCAAGGCGATGCAGGAAGGGACTTTTTGGGACTTTCCGGCCCAGTTTGCATGCGAAGCAGCTAGCTGAAGCTCAAGAACACTCAAATACATTAAAAGCATGACTAGAGTTTTACGCTTCTCAGCCGTTCGAACCTAGGTAAAAATCCCTCGTGTTAATCGTTAGATCTGCTCTTTGTGCATCCTTCTTCCCCTGCCAAACCGTAGAAGGGATCCACGTGATCCCATAGGTGTCGTTTTCCCGACAGCTGGAGCATGAATTCAATAGCGTGTGGATGCACTGTCCTATTGTGTTTTATCAGGGAAACATGAGTCTATCAAAGGCAGGTTTGGAAAGGGAGTTTCCGGTGAAGTAGGTAGGTAGGAGGAGGTTATCTCGCTGTCTCTAGTCTAGTCCCGTTGTGCTTTATCATAATGCTTTGCCTTTGCTTGCCATTCCATTTCTTGTTAGGTCCAGGATCCTATTTTCACAAAGAAAGGTCCCATATCTTGGTGATCAGATATTGAAATTCATTTTGACGCCAGGACATTCCTTTCGAACACCAAAAAAGTCAGACAGCCACAAACCGAGGGCCCTGGCTTCTCACTTTAACATACTCTGACAAAATGTGTTGATTCGCTTTAACATACTGATCAAGCAAGCAATGCTGCATTGTGTTAGATCCGAAGAGTCTCCCTCCATGCAAATGACACTTTGGTTAGCTGGGGAATCCTTATCTTGCTTGTGAACTATTTCCACAGAAAAGCGTGAGCATTTTCTAGTAGGAGCGGAAACCTAGCTGGACAGAGCAGAAAAGTCAGATAAGTGACCATTCAGCTAACTGTGCTCACGATGCGTCCAACCATGCACCCAAGTGAAGTTCAGACTAACAAAGGTCGAAATTCACACTTTTCTACAGCATGCATTTGTGCTTGCACGCCGGTTCAAATCAATAAAACAAGATTTTTTTTTTTGTTAATTGGTTCACATCCTCGTTGAAACACAAGACGATTTCGTCCCACGACCGCTGCCACCCAGACAAGGCTTGTTAATTCTAGTCACCAGCGGCGTAACGGGACCTTCCGATGCGAGCCATGCAGCGTCATACTCCTACTCAGCATGCTACTCCACGGTAAGCGCGCGATCGCCATCTCTCCTCATCTTTAACTAAAGTAAAACACATGATTATGTCCTCATAACATGCATCTTTTTTCCTTTCCCGTGGCTTACCTACTGCCTGACTTGACATGCTTGCCGTGAGCCGAAACTCCGGAGGTCAGAGTACTCGCAGCTCACTTCAGGTTCCGTCACCAAACTAGCCCTTGTGAGAGAGACTTCCCGTTATAGTATCGTCGCGGCGTACGCACAGAGACGACGTAAGGGGCACACGAGCGAACAAAGCTTTATGCATCGAGAAATGCTACTTAAATCTCGAATCGCAACGATCTGCATCGCATCCGCAGTGACCAATCACCAACCCAAAATCTGCACACATCACCTCGTCCCTTTGCTTGAGCTTCAAGTAGGAATACTCCTAGTTGCTAGTTGCAGCGGCGCACAGGTCACCCGCCTCCTTAACCCGCACGGCCACACCAACTCTGCTTTGAGCCTGTTGGAAGGGAGAGAGGAGGATTGGTGGAATAGTTTTTTGTATTGCTTGAGCCTCGTGGGCATATATATAGGAGTACATGATTTACTTGGAGTACAAGGCAAGCCGGAATATTTCCTAGTCTAACCTATGTTTCCTAATACAATCACGTTACTCAACATCCCCCCGCAGTCACAACGGTAGCGACGCAGACGGTAAGACTGGAGAAGAATCCGAAGGCAAGCCGACGGACACCCCCTTACAGTCGTAACGGTCGACGCATCGCGGAGTCGTGGCTGGAGTGGCAACCGACGAGGTTGCTCAAGCAAGGCGATAGCCCTTTGTGCCGTTTGTCGAGGTAGCCGAGAGCGTGGGTGGTGGAGCCGTGGTCGAGGTAGCCGTGCGTAGAATGCCGTGGTCGATGTCGAGTCAGGGTGGCCGGTGTCGAGGAAGTCGCCGTGGAGCCGCGGGCGCAAGTGGGCGCCGAGTTAGCATGGGCGCAGTGGTGTCGAAGTAGGGGTGCGCCAGGAAGATGATGTTGTTAACGACGCGTCGCGGCGGGTTTGCCAAGCCCGGGGACACATCGAGGATGAAGGCACGCACCAGTGTTGCCAGCACCGGGCATGCGTAGACGGACGAAGACGAAGTTGACGAAGCGTCGCGCCAGGCTTGCCAGGCCCGGGGACACGTCGTGGACGAAGGCACGCGGCGGTGTTGCCAGCACTGGGCATGCATAGACTGGGACCTGCACAAGCTGTACGCCATGTCGAAGAAGTCATAGAGGCCAGCAGAGAAGGACTCGACGACGGTTGCGGCGCCAATCAGCGTGGGGCCGATGTCGCCCGCGGTTGTCGGAGGAGATGAAGTGGTCGGGGTAGATGACGGCGACGCTGGCGACGGGCTGGTGCTGGATGAAGACGAACGGGGTGGACGGGCGGCGGCGGCGGCTACAGGGGTAGCGGCGGCGGCGGCCGAAGAAGAGCGGCGGCGATGGCCTAACGGCGGCAACGGCGGCTAGGTTATGAGCGCGGCGGCGATGCTCGAAGTAGGCGCAGAACCCTGACAGCGTGACGAAGACCGGCGCGGACGGTGGTGTTCCCGCGCCAAGGGAGACGGCGCGGCGCATACCACGGGAGATCGACGCGCGGTGACGGCGGAGTGGACCGCGGGCCGCGGCGCTACGACCCAAAGGGGCGACGCAGCGGCGGCAGGCGGATCGGGGCGACGGCGGGAAGACCTCAGGGCGGCAGCGGGGATCGCGGGCCGCGACGCTGCGGCCCGAAGGGGCGATGCAACGGTGGTTCGCGAGTCGGTGCAACCGCAGGGACGGCCTCGGGATGGCGGCGTGGACCGCATGCCACGCTCGCTACGGCCCGACGGGGCGACGCAGCGGCGGCGCGAGGGTCGATGCAGCCATGGGACGGCCTAGAGCGGACGCCCTCGGGGCGGCGGGGGACCGCGGGCCGCGGCACTACGGCCCGAAGAGGCGACGCAGCGGTGACGCGGGGCGGTGCAGCCGGGATAAGAACCACGGGGCGGCGGCGCTGCGGCCCGACGGGGCGACGCAACGGCAGCCCGATGCTCGATCGGTGGAGAGGCGCGCTGAACTCGGGGATGATCTTCACGGGACCTGCAGAGGCGCGCGTAACCGACGGGCCAGGTCAGTCGCGCGGCGTAGATGAGGCGGATCGCGGCGGCGAGCGGGTGATCAAGCCGATCGCGCGCGAGGTCGGGGACGCCGCTCGGTGAAGGCGTGGTGGCGGCGGAGTCCGAGATGAAGCCGGCGGCGGCGGGCGGCAGAGCGGCTATGATTGGCCGCCGCATGACGCGAGGCCGCCGGGTCGGGGTGATGCAGGAGTCCCGGTCGGAGCAGGGCGGTGACGGCCGGCGTAGATCGACGAGCGGGCCGGCACGCGAACGGCGGCGGTGAAGGGCCGCCGCATGACGCGAGGCCGCCGGGTCGGGCGACCGGCGGGTAGACGCGCGGACGACGCGCGAGGCCGCCGGGTCAGTGAAGACGCCGGTGTAGTCGACGCCGAAGTCGGAGTAGAGGCGCACGGGGTCGACGGCGGCGGTGGGTGACGTAAACCGGATCATAAAGACCGGAAAACCAAAAAGTAGACGCCGATCAAAGCGACCGGCGAGAGAGAGAAAACCCAGATCAAAGGATCGGGAAAAAAAGACTCTCTAGGGCAGCCGGCCAACACGGCCGGCGGACGAACCCTAGGTACGGGCGGCGCGGCCCCCGGCGGCGGTCATGGAGGCCGACCGCCCCGGGGGCGGCGCGCAGGTGCGGAAGCGGCGGCGGCTAGGGTTTATGATCGACTTGCGATAGATACCATGTTGGAAGGAAGAGAGGAGGATTGGTGGAATAGTTTTTTGTATTGCTTGAGCCTCGTGGGCATATATATAGGAGTACATGATCTACTTGGAGTACAAGGCAAGCCGGAATATTTTCTAGTCTAACCTATGTTTCCTAATACAATCACGTTGAGTAAGAGAGCCCAATCTTTTCGCCTCGTCTCACTCCTTCCCCGCTATATAAGCACCGGGCCTGCTCGGCATCTCCGGCCAAACCAGACCAGCAGCGGCGGGAGCCATCAGAGCAAAGCAGACAATCGCAGCAGTGGAGTAGGGCGGGCACCATGATGATGGCCCGGGTTTCCTCCGCCCTGTTTCTTGCGATGGTGGCGCTTGTCCTCGCGGTGCCGGCGCTCGCCGGCGACCCGGACTACCTCCAGGACATCTGCGTCGCCGACCTCAAATCAGGTAAGTGTAGCTCAAGATCTCCTGAATTCCTATTCAAATTGGATCGGTGCTGTGCTTCTGCTCTGCATTGAAGACGTACGGCTATACAGTTTTGTACCGTCTGACACCCTGACGTAGTACAACGTACCGTAGGACAGAATTCACGTTAGGTACTTATAAATGCTAAATCCAGTGCCAGTTGATGGTTGGAGACAGTGCAATCGATATTACCGATGTGATGATTGGAAGTAAACAAGTTTAGCATTCAAAATGTATGATCATAGTCTTCCTTCCCAACAATTCAATAGTTTGCTCGTTTCTAGTTTCATTCAAATGGTGATTCAGTATGAAATCGGTCCTCCTGATTTTGTACGAATACTGAACCAACTACTATCATGCTTCAATTTCATCTAAACTTCAGGTTCCATAATATAGAATCGGAGCAATTTTTTTCTTTACAAAACCATCATTCCGAACAACCAGATAGTAGGGACAACGCAAAAGTTCGTGACCAATGGCCGTCCATGCGTTTCCAACGGCAAATGTACGAGCCTTATTTAACTGTGTAAGCCGTTCCCACGCGCAGACCTCAAGGTGAACGGGTTCCCGTGCAAGGCGAACGCGACGGCGGACGACTTCTTCACCGGGGTCCTCGCCAAGCCCGGCGCCACCAACACCACGGCCGGCTCCGTCGTCACCGGCGCCAACGTGGAGAAGGTCCCGGGCCTCAACACCCTCGGCGTCTCACTCTCGCGCATCGACTACGCCCCCGGCGGGCTCAACCCGCCGCACACCCACCCGCGCGCCACCGAGGTCGTCTTCGTCCTCTATGGCGAGCTCGACGTCGGCTTCATCACCACCGCGAACAAGCTCTTCGCCAAGACCATCTCCCAGGGCGACGTCTTCGCCTTCCCGCGCGGCCTCGTGCACTTCCAGAAGAACAATGGTGACAAGCCCGCCGCCGTCATCTCCGCCTTCAACAGCCAGCTCCCCAGCACGCAGTCCCTCGCCATGACGCTCTGCGGGGCCTCCCCGGAGGTACCCGACGACGTGCTCGCCAAGGCATTTCAGATTGACACTGTGGAGGTTGACAAGATCAAGGCCAAGTTTGCCCCGAAGAAGTGAAGGGCCGGAGCACGAATAAGATTCAGACTTTTGTAAAATACGTACATGTCTCGGTGGTTTATTTATTGATTTGTTGGTCTTCCAATAACTGCGTTAAGCATGTCATACTAATGCAGTCGTTTCGTGCATTCTTGCCGATCCGACTGGCTACCTGTGTAAGTGGCCTCAAGAACCAGAAATTTGTACTGCTAAGTTGGACTGTTGGAGTTTCGCAAAAAAAAAACTTTTGGAAAAGTAGAAGGAGAATATAATTTGTCCATTTTGTTAGAGCATCTAGACGGACGCCTCGAACAGGCCTCAAACGCCCGGGCTGACCGGCACCCTTTATATCCCAGCCCAAATATGAGGTGGATATAGGGGCGCCCGGGCGTGCCCGCCACATAGGACTGACGATGGGGTCCCATGCGAAAATGACCGGAAACCCGGCGGTCCAATGAACGCCTCTTCCGTCGCCGCGGTGTGAACGTCGCGTGGCGCCGCTCCGGCTCGCCACACGAGGCCAAAGTCGGCTATTTAAGCCGGCCGATGTCCCCAACCCTAGCCCATCCACCTCCTCCCTCTCTACGCCGCCACCCAAGCATGTCCGCCTCCTCTCCCCCGCTCTTCCAAGCTGTCTAGCATCGCCATGGTTCGGCGGCTAATCACCACATATGCTATGCTCACGCCGGAGCGCCGGAGGCAAATCTTAGAGGAGATCCAGGCAAGGCGCTCTGCCAGCATCGCTGTCGGGCTGCCTCTGAACTCGCCGGAGCTGAAGGAGGAGGAGCAGCAGCCGAAGGAGGAGAGGGAGGGAGGACCGTTGCTGGAGCCGATGGAGGTGGCGGATCCGGAGGAGGAGGAGGCGGAGTAGCCTAGGGGGGGGGGGGTTCACCATGGCAGAGGCAGAGGCGGAGTTCGCCGTTGCCCAAACCGAGATGGCGGAGCAGCAGGCCATCCAGGAGTCCATCCAGGATCAGGCCTATGTTGGTTTTCAAATATCTGCGTTAAGCATATCATACTAATGCAGTCGTGTCGTGCATTCTTTGCGACTTGACTGGCGATCTATGTAAGTGGACTGAAGAACGAGAAATTTGTACTGTTAAGTTGGACTGTTGGAGTACTGAAGGGGAGGATATAATTTGTCCATCTTGTTTTTTAAAGAGAAGGCCATCATAACTAGCTTTATTAAAAATTTAACTAGAGATTACATCCTCCAATAGTTTAAGAATAAGACAAGCCAGAGGCTCGTTAATTCAACTACTATTAATCTTATTACATAAACTATGACTAGCTAGCACATGAGTTGCTTGGTTCGACAAACGAATACAATGCTTAAAAATAACCTTCCCAATAAGCGATGAAATGTCCCCACACCCGGCGAAAATGGCAGCGGCAGCATCCCACCATCTGGTTTGGCCTGAACAGTTCTCAATAACCGTTGTCGAATCTGATTCTGCTTCTACTCTAGGAAAACCAAGAGAGTTTGCAAAATCGAGGCCGTTTCTCATTGCCAAAGCTTCGGAGGTGACCACATCTGATACATGTGCTAAGTATTTGCATTGGGCTGCTAAGAAGTTACCTTTTTCATCTCGAACGACTGTTGTTGTTGCTCCAACACCTTCATCTACATGGAATGAGGGATCCACATTCAACTTCACAAACCTTGGATTGGGTTTCAACCATCTTTTTTCATGCGCATCTCGACTCTTTTGATTTGCTTGATGGAAGTTGTTTGCAATAGCCAGAACCGCCATGGGCCACTGCGGTGGTGATCCATTGTGCGTGAATTCACTACGAATGCACCATAGGTACCAGCCCCCTACAGCAAGAATTTGTTTGACATCTAGGCTTGGCTTTAACGAATTTGTCTATCTTGTTAGATTGTATTCTACTCGAATTAATACATCCCTAATAACATCATCCTAACGGACCAGCCCATATAAGCATAATTCAAGTTCATTTTTTCAGAAACCCCCTCCTGTTTTGGGAAGTTTCCCGACTGGTTTTTTTATGTGTTGTTGGTCTTTCGGTTTCACTCGGTTTTTGTCCGGGTTTTTTTTTTTTAATCTTCTCTTTATTTTTCCTTTTTAATTCTTTGTCAAATGCGTGAACTTTTTTCAAATTTGAATACTTTTTGAAAATTTGTGAACCTTTTTCAAATTTCATGAACTTGTTTCCAAATTCTGTTTTTTTAAAAAAAATCATGAACTTTTTCCCATTTTGTGAACTTTTCCAAGTCTTGGACTTTTATCATGAACTTTTTTTCAATTTTGAGATTTTTTTTCTAAATCTCATGATTTTTTTTCAAATTTATGTTTTTTATCAATAATTGTTTTTGGACTTTTTGTTAACTTTCTTGAATATATGGGTTTTTTGAATTCGTGAACTTTTTTGTATGCTCATGAACTTTTTGAAAAAAATATTGCAAACTTTTTCAAATTTCTAAAAAAATTTGGAATGATCAATGGCCGAGTCAATGGTCAATGGGTCAAGTCAAGTCAACATATCAAAACAAGTCTCTGCAAAAAAATTGTAGAGCAACCAGAGTGAGTGACCATATGGCGTTTATGGGCTGGCACAAGGTGCTGCAGTGGGCGCCAGTTGGCTTCCGCGGCGCCAAAGGCGCTGAATAAGAGGCCTGAGAGGTCAAAATAGCACCCATCATCTTCCACTAATTTCATCTCTCTCGGCAATGAGTAGCATTGGTCTTCATCGGGTTTGTCAGATGTGATGGAACCCAGTACTCCAGTAGAGCTTTTCTAGCAGTCTTTAGAGATTGTGGGAGTTGGCTCTTGAACAAAGAAGGTGCTCCACCTCATCCACTTGGCAAACACCTAGGATTTGATGCATATATGACAACATAACCTCCCTAACAGACATAGTATCAGATGTGTGTGAACCATGCCCCTATCTAGATCTAGACCTGGATCTCCTATTTTATCTAGTATCTTCATGCATATATTAAGTATCCTTCACAATAGCGGTTTCCATGCCACTTTGTTTGATAGGATCTTCGGGTTTGTCCACACCTTCCTCTTCATCTTGATCTGTGGGCAGCTCTACTTCTATTGTGAATTTATAGAATTTGCCTGTAATGCCAAATGTTCTTTCCTCAGGGATCTTGCTAATATCTTTGTAGGAGATTTTGACCCTAATTGTCTCATGGAAGGTTTGAAAACAATGTTGCCAATCAACCTCTAAAAGAATACCACAACAGATGTTACTTGATCAAGGATAGACCATTCACACTATTTGGGATTCATCTTCTTTATCTAATCCGGACCTCCTGCTAGGTAGGAACAGATTAAATCTCACCATCCCATACTTCTACATTGACTATTATCTTTACTTGCCCAAAGCAAAGATAAACAACCACCTATTCAACAAGATTTTCAGGTTGGAACTTTACCAAATAAGTCCAGTCATCTAAAGCATTGACTTGTAATAGGCCAATTGGTCTTATAAATGTTAGCAAACTCCCTGGCCAAATCCTATTTACTAATTTCATCTGACTCAAGGAACAATATTCCTACATTCTTCGGGATTCCAACATGACGGGAGTTTACACCAGGCATGTCCAAATGATAGAATCCTAGCCCTGGAACAACACTACCAAAATACCTTGCCGCTAGGTATGGTCTTTTCATAACTAGACAATTCTCAACTTGATGGGTAACCATTTTGCAGATGAAGAAGCATTTCACACCGGGACACTTGTCTTAGTGGTGGTCTGGTTCTCCACAGCTAAAGTAGATCACATAAGCCATCAGGCCCTACACATTTCTTACTAATAGGTGCCCCTTTGGGTTCTTGCTTCTTTTTTTGTTGTTGCCTATTGCATTAATCCTTTTGGTTTCCTTGGATAGATACATCATCTCCTGATCCCTAAGTATTATTTCCCACCCACAACCTTGGGAACCACAACCCTTATTCTGACCACGGGCTGGTTGACCCATAGGGGGGCCGTTGAACCAGGGTGGAGGTATACCTTCCCACTACAGGCGTGTCTGGGAAAAAGGACCCTGGAACTGACCAGCAAATGACATTGTGTGGCTGAACAAGGAAACTGAAACCATACGCAAAGGGGGCGGAGCTTGATGCATGGGGGGCCTGAGCATTGCCATTGTTGGTGTTGCGAGTGTCCATCGCCATCTCTATGGTTAATTGTGTTCCCCCTCTTCCCTCTACCTCTGCCTGAATATGCCATCGCTTCAAGTTCGTCCTCTGCACCTTGCTCCGAGGCGACGTTAGGGCGTGGGTAGGAGGGGTTTGGTGGGAGAAGCGAGGATGGGGGGCTGCCACTGCTCAACCCTAGCTTTATCAAAGTTGCTCCCAGCAAACGAGATCCAAAGATTATTGTGAAACTCGTTGACAACATCATCAACTTGGAACATGACGCCTCTTTTGTTTCAAACCGTGACTCCAGAAACAAAATCCACTGGAATCATCAAGGATCAGCGGCAGCAAGGGCACTAGTTCAAACGCAACATCCATTGCAGAAGATGCGGCCTAGACCCCGAGTTTCACGCAACACATAGTCTGAGGAGAAGCGGATCCATCAGCCCTTGCCATGGAGGTGTCGTTGCGCCCATAGTTGATGAGTGCATCAATTGACTCGGTTCCTCACCAATGAGTATATGGCTTGTCCTCAACATTTTTGTTTTCCCACAAGAAGAGGCAAAGGAAGAAGAGAAGTTCCAGACTTGCTTTTTCGAAGTTGCATTCGTTTATCTGCTTGTGATTCTACAACTAAGCATGTGATTGTACCTTCTTGGCTATTCCGATATGTCATGGACCTACATAATCCATTAGGTGGCTGCTTTTGGTTTTGTAACTTGCTTAATAATTAATAAGAATGACTGTGTGCATCGTCAGTGGTTTAACTTTTTTCCAAAAAAGAAATGATAGGAAAAAAATGAAAAAACAAGTTGGTGCGGATGACCCACTATATTTAGTTGGCGTATGTTTGCTCGGGGTGATGGAAATTGTGAACGTATTTCATGGCAAGTTTAGTTGTAGGGTGTGGCAATTTCTTTGGATAAGCATGACAATTCCATGGTAGAGAAGACAACTTTTTATTAAAAAAAATGCCATCGTTTGATCTCGATCGAACGGCTACGAGTGTGTTTGCTGGGAGATCCTTCCCAGCGGACGTTCTCCACTTATCATTACCGTATATATATATTAGGTGATGGGGTCGCTAGGGGACATGGCGGTGCCCATGGTGCCCCCACCACTCTCGTTGGACCCTAGTTAGATGTTGTTGTCTATGGGTGACTGGGGCAGATGCGTTGGCACCTAATTCCGATGCTTTCTTTGCGAAAGAGCTTTAAGATTTGCTCACCAAATTGGAGGCAGCTAGCCCTAGACTAGGCAAGGTGATTGGTTGCCTCTTGACAGGGAAGGCTGCTAGGGGGCAAATCAACAAGGTGGAGAAGTGTCTCAGGAGCAAAGTGAACAAGGGTGCGTTATACGGAAGGCGTCGGCGACTACTTAATGGATGTTTCTCTGTCTCTTGGACTGTCCTCGCGGTTTGGCTTGTCTTCATGTGTTTGGTGGTATTCCTTGTGTGTGGTCGAGGTGTTCTTGCTGAGTACGGGAGTTTGTGGTTGCTGCGTGTTCGAAATGGTTATCGGGTTGGCCGTGTAGTCATGGAGTTTCATGCTTTGTGAATAGTCCGCATGTGGCATGTTTATATTGGTTTTCGCCCGGTTTTTTGTTAGTTAACTAGATAATTCTCTTCTTCTTAATTAATCAATCTGGCAAATCTTTTGTTTTTGTTTCATAAAAAAATCACCTCGGTGATCTCGATTGAAGATGATGATGATTCTATCTGTAAACATAGATCACATAATGACGCTGGCTATCATCTTTCTGTGTTCGCTCCAATCATATCACTGCATAGATGATTTCCGCAGCGGATGGCAGTTGAATTAAACGGTTCAAGTCAGAATGTTCAGGGATCATACAAGAATCCGTATCTTCATCAAATGATTGAGGTAAACGTCTTCCAGCCCGTTTGCTGGTCGCTTGGGAGGTTACGGGAAAAAAACTCCGAAGAAATTAATGAGTGAATGGGCGGAACTTTTCGTTTGCACTTGCGTCGTGTCTGAGCTGCTCGATTAATTGTTAAGCGAACATAAGAGCATTGCTCATCGTAAGTTCAGACACGACGCGGCAGACTTAGCGTCCTCATTGCTTGCCGAGAATAGCAGAGAGATCTTTCTGTATATGAAACGCTATCCATTTTTGCAATGGTTGTAGAAGAAATTCTGCGAACACTGAATTTATTCCTGCGAAGAGCTCTCCTTTCTCAAGAGTAATCCGGTGTCCCCAGCAGGCGTGCTTTTTTCCTCCATTATTTTCACTCAGGTACTTGATGTAAGAGCAACTCCAACAGGGCGACCCAAACGGACGCGCGCTTTGTTTGCTTTTTATCCGTTTGGATCGGCCAGGCGGACGCCGGCGTCCGCATTTTAAAATGGGTCGGCTTGACCGCCTAACGAGGTGGCCGACCCAAATGTGACGGCGTGGAAAAAAACAAATTGCACGAAATAAACATAATTAAACATAAAAGTGGCCGGTCAAACGCCGGCCAAAGTCCACCTACATCTAATAAACATTAAATAAAAACATTAAAAAAGTTTGCGCCCGACTGCTGCCGCCCCGCACGCTGCCCTAGACGTCGTCGGCCTTGCCCTTGCCCTTGCCCTCGACGTCGCCGTCGTTGGTGAGGTCGATGAAGATCGGAGCAGGGCCAGCCCACTCGAATGCCGCCTGGTACGCTGCCAGGGCAGCCTCCTCCGGCGTCTGCTGGGGCGGCGGCATTGCGGCAAGCCGCGCGCGCTCCTCCTTCTCCTTCTCGAGCCGGAGCGCCTCCGCGTCGCGTTGGAGCATGGCCTCGTAGCGCATCTGCTCCTCGCCGTCGCCCTGCTTCTGGCGGAGCCAGTGCTCCTTCCATCGCTCGAGGTGGGCCGCCTCTTCCTCCGGCGTCGCGGTGAAGTAGACGGGAGGCGCGCTCACCCACTCGCGGTACTGGCCCGTCCACGAGTAGGCCTCCTCCGGCCAAGTGGGTGGAGGTGGGGAGCGCTTACGCGACGGCTCCGGTTCCGGCTCTGGCTCCGGCTTGGGCTGTACGGGCGGCGACGGTGGAGGCGGAGGCACGAAGAGCGGGGTGTGGACGGAGTCCCCCGCCGCCGACAGGGCAAGGGCTTGCTCCAGCCCATCCCAGTGCGCGTCCTCCTCGATGCGGCTAGCCTCCAGCGCGTGCTGCAGGGCCTCCTCGAGGGCGGCTTGGTACTCCGCCTCCGCCTCCATGTCCTCCGGCTCTACCCGCGGGGGCGGCGGTGGGAACGGCGGCGGGACGGCGTCGATACCCGAGCGTCGTTGCTCCTCGTGTTCGAGAGCGAACCAAGCCTCCCAGTTAGGAGAGTCGGCGACGTACTCGGGCAGCCCACGCTGCTCCGGTGTGAGCAGCGCGCGGCGCCGGCGCACCTCGTCGTCCTGCGCCCGCTGGGTCCGCAGAACCGCCGGCATCGGGATCCGGTTTGGATCCAAATGCCAATGGTGCGGCAGCGTCACGTCGGGGTAGGGGAGGGGCTGCCTGTACTCCCAGTGCCACCGCGCTTGGTGCACTGGGATGTGCAGGCACCGGCGATGGAGGGGGAGGGGGGAGCACGGGATGACGAGGCGCCGGGGGTGCCCTTCCCCTTGCCATTGCTTTTGCCGAAGAGGCCCATGGCGCGCGCTAGGGTTTGCGGTCGCCGGCGAGGAAGCAAAGGAAGTGGTGGTGGGAGGGGGGGGCAGATGTGGACGAGAGAAGTGGATGAGGCCGACCCCGCCGTACGCGTGGTTAAAAAAGGACATGCGCATTGGCTGACGCGTGGGCCCGCTGTCGGTGGTCGTCATAAATAAGACGACAGGTGACGGTTGGGTGGCCGCCAGGTGAGGACGCGGCGGACGGCGAGGAGACGCGCGGCGCGTCTGCTTCGCGTCCGCGCCGACACATTCCAGGCGCAATTTTGGGTCAGAAATGGGTCGGCGCGGACGCCGGGCGGACACGATTTGAATTTGGGTCGGCGCGTTGGGCCGCCACTTTTGTCCGCGCCGACACAAACGAACGCGAACGGATGAAATGGGTCGCCCCATTGGAGTTGCTCTAACTCCGGATTGGAGTTGCTCTAACTCCCGAATCTGCAAGGACCAATCGGCTACATAAAAATGACAGGCGTCACGGACTGGCCAAATTTTACGAGATATGGAGAATTACGGGCGCTCTCGTGATCACAAACTCATCACAAGAACTGAAACTCGCTTCTAAGGAACAACTACAAGAACACAGTTGGGCACACTCGATTAATAATGCCTCATCCCAGATATTCACCATCCTCTATGCTAGTATATTATCGGAAATCATGTTGGATTATTAGTCACCAGCTGCTAGGTGCATAATACGTCTGCGTGATCTGTCATGCCATGCATGACCCACGATTAATCCAGTAAACAAATGAGGCCACATGCACTCTACGTACATATGCATGATCAGTGATCCTCGTCAACCATGCATGATCTGTGATCTTCGTCAACCATCGTCCGTTGGCGGGAGGGGACGGAAAGAGTTGAAGTTTAATATCAGAGAAGCAGAGTTGGTCCTGGCGAGCATGGAGCCGTCGCCTATATAAGCACCATGGAACACACTGTAGGCTTCGGTATGCAAACAGAGTTGAAGTTTAATATCAGAGAAGCAGAGTTGGTCCTGGCGAACATGGAGAATCATCTCGCGATCCTGGCGTTGTTTCTGGGCGTGTGCATGTCACAGCTCGGGGGTTCAGCGGCTCAGCAGTACTGGACGCCGGCCAACGCGACGTTCTATGGCGGCGGCGACGCGTCCGGCACAATGGGTACGTAACCGTTTCCTCATTCTCCAGTTTTGCTGCAACCTAGGCCGAGGATTTGCGTCGGGGAACGATTTCTTAGATATCTGCTTCTTGCATATGCAGGTGGATCCTGCGGTTACGGCAACCTGTACGACGCCGGGTATGGGACCAGCTCGACGGCGCTGAGCACGACGCTGTACGGCGACGGCAGGTCGTGCGGCGCTTGCTACGTCATCACCTGCGACGCCTACCACACGCAGTCGTGCAAGCCGGGGACGTCCATCACCGTCACGGCCACCAACTTCTGCCCGCCCAACTGGTCGCAGCCAAGCGACGACGGCGGCTGGTGCAACCCGCCGCGGCAGCACTTCGACATGTCCCAGCCCGCCTGGGAGACCATCGCCGTCTACCAGGCCGGCTTCGTGCCCATCAAGTACGCCAGGACGGCGTGCCCGCGGAGGAACGGCGGCATCCGCTTCTCCATCACCGGCCATGACTACTTCGATCTGGTCCTCATCAGCAACGTCGGCGGAAGCGGCGCCGTGTCGGCGGCGTGGGTGAAGGGCTCCAACACGGACTGGCTGCCCATGAGCCGCAACTGGGGCTCTAACTGGCAGAGCAACGGCTACCTCACCGGCCAGAGCCTGTCGTTCCAGGTGCAGACGGACGATGGCAGGTCCGTCACGGCGTACAACGTGGCGCCGGCATACTGGAAGTTCGGCGACACTTACACGTCTTCCGTTAACTTCTACTAGCCGAGCATATGCGCGCTAGCCTTTTACACTAGTCCAGACATCTGCCGTCGCTAGTGGAGGAAACAAATTTGAATCTGGCGAAGGATATGTACAGATGATAGGGGTCCTCCTGATCGAGGGTGCGACGAGATCGGGGTGGCATGGGCCAACCCCTACATCTCAATCCAACCAGTTGCGACTCGAAGAGATGCGCTGAAGGGAAGTGCAAATCCAGGAGGATCTGGAGGAGGAGAGGCGGGCGCACCGTGCGCGATTCACGCTGCAACCCGAGCTTGTTTGCTGCTACCCTCTCGCCCCATGGATGGAGATCACAACGAGGGAAGTGGATGTGATTGTGCAGCTGTAGAAATGGGTCTGAATGGGTCGTGGAGCAGATCAGCATGTAGAACTCAGTGTTGACTTGCGTGGCTAGAAATGTAGGAAAGGACCGACATTGTAGCAGCAGTTCACGAGAGGTTCTGTAGGCATCAGGTGGCCGAGATATGGACATACTCCATTCTTTGAAGACTAAGTGCAATATTCAGGAACTGGGGTCTCTGCTCGTCCCGCCACCTTCACAAATCACGCAGATGACTGGGGCCGTGGGGTTGTTGGAGAAGCCGCTTGCATATTCGGGTGGTGGGAAGCCTACCTCACAAGCTGCCGTCGGTGAATGGTGTCTTTGACCACGGCACAACCAACATTGTGGTGGTTGATTCTAATGGTCAAATAAGCTATGATGGTGTCAACCTCAAAAATCTTGGTGCCTGCATTGCCAATCATGGTGTCTTTGTGGGGGCTTTGTCAGTCATGGTGTCGATGGAGCTGTGAGACATGGTGTCTTAGATACTTATGTTGATGTTGTGGTTGTTGGGGAACGTAGCAGAAATTCAAAAAATTTCCTACGTAACACCAAGATCTATCTATGGAGAGACCAGCAACGAGTAGAAAAGGGAGTGCATCTACATACCCTTGTAGATCGCTAAGCGGAAGCGTTCAAGTGAACGGGGTTGATGGAGTCGTACTCGTCGTGATTCAGATCACCGATGATCAAGTGCCGAACGGACGGCACCTCCGCGTTCAACACACGTACAGCCCGGTGACGTCTCCCACGCCTTGATCCAGCAAGGAGAGAGGGAGAGGTTGAGGAAGACTCCATCCAACAGCAGCACAACGGCGTGGTGGTGGTGGAGGAGCGTGGCAATCCCGCAGGGCTTCGCCAAGCACCATGGGAGAAGAGGAGGAGGGAGAGGGGCAGGGCTGCACCAACGAGAGATCAAATCGCGTGTTATGGGCAGCCCCATGCCTCAATATATATAGGGGGGAAGGGGGCTGCGCCCCCTTTAGGGTTTTCCCACCCCCTAGGGGCGGCGGCCAGCCCTAGATGGGTTTTGGGGTGCGGCCAAGGAGGGGGGGAGGAGTCCATCCTCCCCAAGGCACCTCGGAGGTGCCTTCCCCCTTGAGGACTCTTCCCTCTAGGGTTCCCTAGGCGCATGGGCCTCTTGGGGCTGGTCCCCTTGGCCCATGTAGGCCAAGGCGCACCCCCTACAGCCCATGTGGCCCCCCGGGGCAGGTGGCCCCACCCGGTGGGCCCCCGGGACCCTTCCGGTGGTCCCGGTACAATACTGATGACCCCGAAACTTGTCCCGATGGCCGAAACAGGACTTCCTATATATAAATCTTTACCTTCGGACCATTCCGGAACTCCTCGTGACGTCCGGGATCTCATCCGGGACTCCGAACAACATTCGGTAACCACATACAAGCTTCCTTTATAACCCTAGCGTCATCGAACCTTAAGTGTGTAGACCCTACGGGTTCGGGAGACATGCAGACATGACCGAGACGTTCTCCGGTCAATAACCAACAGCGGGATCTGGATACCCACGTTGGCTCCCACATGTTCCACGATGATCTCATCGGATGAACCACGATGTCAAGGACTCAATCGATCCCGTATTCAATTCCCTTTGTCTAGCGGTATTTTACTTGCCCGAGATTCGATCGTCGGTATACCGATACCTTGTTCAATCTCGTTACCGGCAAGTCACTTTACTCGTTCCGTAACACATCATCCCGTGATCAACTCCTTGGTCACATTGCGCATATGATGATGTCCTACCGAGTGGGCCCAGAGATACCTCTCCGTTTACACGGAGTGACAAATCCCAGTCTCGATCCGCATAAAACAATAGATACTTTCGGAGATACCCGTAGTGCACCTTTATAGTCACCCAGTTACGTTGTGACGTTTGATACACCCAAAGCACTCCTACGGTATCCAGGAGTTACACGATCTCATGGTCAAAGGAAGAGATACTTGACATTGGCAAAGCTCTAGCAAACGAACTACACGATCTTTGTGCTATGCTTAGGATTGGGTCTTGTCCATCACATCATTCTCCTAATGATGTGATCCTGTTATCAACGACATCCAATGTCCATAGTCAGGAAACCATGACTATCCGTTGATCACAACGAGCTAGTCAAATAGAGGCTCACTAGGGACATATTGTGGTCTATGTATTCACACGTGTATTACGATTTCCGGATAATACAGTTATAGCATGAATAAAAGATTATTATCATGAACAGAGAAATATAATAATAACACTTTTATTATTGCCTCTAGGGCATATTTCCAACATTCTCCCACTTGCACCAGAGTCAATAATCTAGTTCACATCGCCATGTGATTAACACTCACAGGTCACATCGCCATGTGACTAATACCCAAGAGTTTACTAGAGTCAGTAGTCTAGTTCACATCACTATGTGATTAACACTCAATGAGTTTTATGTTTGATCATGTTGCTTGTGAGAGAGGTTTTAGTCATCGGGTCTGAACCTTTCAGATCCGTGTGTGTTTTACAAATCTCTATGTCATCTCCTAGATGTAGCTACCACGCTCTATTTGGAGCTAATCCAAATAACTGTTCTACTTGGAGCTATTCTAAATTGTTGCTCCATTATATGTATCCGGTATCTCTACTCAGAGCTATCCGGATAGGTGTCAAGCTTGCATCGACGTAACCCTTTATGACGAACTCTTTTACCACCTCCATAATCGAGAAAATCCCTTAGTCCACTAGTTACTAAGGATAACTTTGACCGCTGTCCTATGATCCATTCATGGATCACTCTTGTACCCCTTGACTGACTCATGGCAAGGCACACTTCAGGTGCGGTACACAGCATAGCATACTGAAGAGCCTACGTCTTAAGCATAGGGGACGACCTTCGTCCTTTCTCTCTATTCTGCCGTGGTCGAGCTTTAAGTCTTAACTTCGTACCTTACAACTCAGGCAAGAACTCCTTCTTTGACTGGTCCATCTTGAACACCTTCAAGATCATGTCAAGGTATGTGCTCATTTGAAAGTACCATTAAGCGTTTTGATCTATCCTTATAGATCTTGATGCTCAATGTTCAAGTAGCTTAATCCAGGCTTTCCATTGAAAAACACTTTCAAAATAACCCTATATGCTTTCCAGAAATTCTACGTCATTTCTGATCAACAATATGTCAACAACATATACTCATCAGAAATTCTATAGTGCTCCCACTCACTTCTTTGGAAATACAAGTTTCTCATAAACTTTGTACAAACCCAAATTTTTTGATCATCATCAAAGCATACATTCCAACTCCGAGATGCTCACTCCAGTCCTTAGAAGGATTGCTGGAGCTTTGCATACTTATTAGCATCTTTCGGGATTGACAAAACCTTCCGGTTGTATCACATACAACCTTTCCTCATTAAAATCGTCGAGGAAACAATGTTTTGACATCCTATCTGCAAGATTTCATAAATAATGCAGTAATCGCTAATATAATTCCTACAGACTCTTAGCATCGCTACGAGTGAGAAAATCTCATCGTAGTCAACTCCTTGAACTTGTCGGAAAACATCTTAACGACAAGTCGAGCTTTCTTAATGGTGACATTTACCATCATTGTCCGTCTTCCTTTTGAAATCCATCTGTACTCATTAGCCTTACGACCATCGAGCCGTTTTGCCAAAGTCTACACTTTGTTTTCATACATGGATCCTCTCTCGGATTTTATGGCCTCAAGCCATTTATCGGAATCCGGGCCCACCATCGCTTCTCCATAGCTCGTAGGTTCATTGTTGTCTAGCAACATGACCTTCAAGACAGGATTACGTACCACTCTGAAGTAGTACGCATCCTTGTCATCCTACGAGGTTTGGGAGTGACTTGATCCGAAGTTTCATGATCAATATCATAAGCTTCCACTTCAATTGGTGTAGGTGCCACAGGAACAACTCCCTGTGCCCTGTCACACACTAGTTGAAGAGACGGTTCAATAACCTCATCAAGTCTCCACCATCCTCCCACTCAATTCTTTCGAGAGAAACTTTTCCTCGAGAAAGGACCCGATTCTAGAAACAATCCATATTGCTTTCGGATCTGAATTAGGAGGTATACCCAACTGTTTTGGGTTTCCTATGAAGATGCATTTTATCCGCTTTGGGTTCGAGCTTATCAACCTGAAACTTTTCCATATAAGCGTCGCAGCCCCAAACTTTTAAGAAACGACAACTTAGGTTTCTCTAAACCATAATTCATACGGTGTCATCTCATCAGAATTACGTGGTGCCCTATTTAAAGTGAATGTGGTTGTCTCTAATGCCTAACCCATGAACGATAGTGGTAATTCGATAAGAGACATCATGGTACGCACCATATCCAATAGGGTGCAACTATGATGTTCGGACACACCATCACATTATGGTGTTCCAGGCGGTATTAATTGCGAAACAATTTCCACAATGTCTTAATTGTGTGCCAAAACTCGTAACTCAGATATTCATCTCTATGATCATATCATAGACATTTTATCCTCTTGTCACAATGATCTGCTACTTCACTCTGAAATTACTTGAACCATTCAATAATTCAGACTTGTGTTTCATCAAGTAAATATTCTCAACATCTACTCGAATCATCTGTGAAGTAAGAACATAACGATATTCATTGCATGCCTCAGCACTCATTGG